ATCTAAGAAGTGCAATGTGTTTTAGCTCCAGTATTCTTTCGAAATGAGCAGAGACTACAGAATAAACCTGGCAAAAATGGTGCAACAGTGAGAGCCCAGATCTTCAAAGAGCATGAGACACAACATCGATTTCTGCTATTTGATATGTGTCAAAAATCATATTTGGGTTCTTCAGACAGACAGCAAGGGAGAGATGAGAATGAAAGAATTTCATAAAGCTAAGAGATGAATGAAGATAAAGGGCAAGTGTTTCAATTTGGTTAGGTGTATAACATCCAAAACCCAATAAAAAAGATTTCGTCTTCACATCTTCCTCGCCTGTTACGCAAGATTCTTCTGGTATTCTTGTGCAGAATTGATTAATTATTTGACATTTCAGTCAAAGATATTTTTGACAGACAGAAAACATTGTTTAGCAAGTAAAACATGCTGTGGATCTTTGTACGCAGGCATGTTTTTACTTGCAAAATCACAATTTCGGGGGATCTTTAACCAGGCCTGGTGTCCTAACTTAAATTTTCTTTAAAATATTGAAATATTAGATGACAATTTCTGCGCCAAAAAGTCACAGCTTCAATTATAAATGTGTGAGGCTCTCTCGGGAGCCCTTCAATATTCTTCTCAAATTTTCACCTGACACTTGACTATAAGCTGACACGGACTTGACAGAAAATCAGTGAAAGATAAGTTATACAAGAACTCTTCATTACAAAATATTAGGACCCGGAATTTGACAGATTGACAAAGTCATCTACTTCAAATACCCTTTAAAACGAGTCAGCTTGAAGAAACGAATAACTTTATAGCACTCAAGACAGCCTATGAAGGGGGGGGGAAAGTAATTTGTGACAGGATGGGTACTGTAGATTCATTGAGTTCAAAACTCATTGAACTCACAGCGTGAGCAGTAATGGAAGTATACACATTATTCCGTCCTCCCCGGCTGCTGTCCCTCCTCGGAGATGATGAAGAGGGGGCAGATGGAGAAAATGGTCAGGGAGGTGGTGTTGAAGGGGTGTGCATGTCGATAGCATCCAAAACACACTGGCAAGAAACGCAGAATATGAGCTGACAATTACAGCCTTTAATCCTAAACAACAGAATCGGACCTCCCACCTCATCCCGCGCAGAGTGACAGATGGTGTGAGATATTGCAGTCATTAAAGCTGGGAAACTCTGGCAAAGTGATCCTCCTAGTGTGCTCAGACTTCATTGATCCGAGCGCATGCAACACGTCCAGCCTCGACACCTTACACCTGACCCCCCGATCTAATAATAGAGAGCGAGCTGTGATGGAGGGCATGAGAGAAGAGCAACTTGAGCCTCTCCTGAAAGAATCGATTTAGTATTATCTCTTGCTGTTCGCATTTCTAGCTGGAAATGTATTATATCCAGAATTGTGCCTGCTGGATTATGGTGGCGGTGGGAGGTTTTCTTTTTTAAACCCTTAATGGTGTTATTGCTTTGTCTTGTACTCTGACTCATAATAATGGAGTGAAGTCACTTATCTTGAGTGGCTCCTTTACAGATTTGGCGATAACAGTCATGAGGAACTGATGCCCTGTTCGTTTTTAGACTTACTCCATGTGCTTGTGCTACTTCCAACAACAGGACAAATGGATTTGGAACTTTTGCTTTGATCAGTGTAGACAGTCTCAAGCTGTTGTGATGTAACAACAGTCACGCCCATTGTAGACACTCTGTGTCCGAATATGGCCACTACTACAAAGTTGACGAAATTACTATGTGAAAAGAGTAGGGTATTATGTCAGAATTCATTGTATTTATAAAGGCAACTAATTCCATTGAAATTGTACAACTACTACTTCAACCGACATTCCTAATGCTGCATTCGAGAAGAAGTCAGAGGTGGGAATATGGGAGGTAGGGGTTGAAATGTCCCACTTCCAACCTCAGTGCATTCCAGTCAATCACACCACAAGATGGCGCTATCAACAAAAACATTTTGTGTTCAGCTAGTTATGGCAAAATCGTAAATTAAAGCAACATTCAGGCTCTACCAAAATCTGTTTATTGTCATTGTTCATTCATCATTTGTAAACTTGTAAACTATCTAATGTTAAATATAATGGTATGCAGTTCTAGACGTTGGTGCTAAATAGCTGACTAGGAATTACCGAGCAACCAAAATAGGTAAAAATGTCCCAAGTTAACAAGTCAAATTTCCAACTTGGAGCAACATTCCAAGTTGTCTGGAACCCATCTGATAAAAAAAAAAAAAAAACCTTGGAGCACAAAACCAACCAACAAATTGTATGGGTCAAAATGATTGATTTTTCTTTTATGACAAAAATCATTAGGATATTAAGTAAAGATCATGTTCCATTAAGATATTTTGTAAATATCCAACTGTAAATATATCAAAACTTAATTTTTGATTAGTAATATGCATTGCTAAGTAATATGCATTGCTCTTTTGGACAACTTTAAAGGCGATTTTCTCAATATTTAGATTTTCAAATAGTTGTATCTTGGCCAAATATTGTCCTATCATATCAAACCATACATCAATGGAAAGCTTATTTATTCAGCTTTCAGATCTATATAAAATCTCAATTTTAAAAAATTGACACTTATGACTGGTTTGTAGTCCAGGGTCACAAATGGCACCGCAAGTCACATGACATCTTTTCCATACTTTTCTGCCATATGTACATTAATTGACAGTCACCACTGATAAGCTACCACTAAATATTGTAGAAACTGAATTTGCTGTAAAGTTGCTTTGCAATGATTTGTATCGTGAAAAGCGCTGTACAAATAAACTTGACTTGACTTGACATCACAGATGTTGCTCTTCATCAAATGCAGTACCTGTGATAGTTTGCGATTTTGTCCGCAGCTAGTGCTTTTTCTGCTACACATGTATGAAACAGAGAGATTTTTATCATTCTTGTAAAAGAATCACACAGTCACAGAGTGCTGTTGTTTGAATATAATTTGTCTGTCTACAAAAGGCCAAAGGTTATCAAAGACAAACACCAGAATTGAGAGATAAATTGAATAAACAATTGGCTAATACTGAGTAAAGCCCTATTCGCACGGGATTAGTATTATCTGGGGACCTTGTGTGATTTTGAAATCCCGTGCGAATGCTGGCCAAATCACAGAGATGCCGATTCGCACGGGACTAGCCTAATATTATCACAGGACCTCGGTGTTTGGCGAAATATGGGAGGTCATTTGCGGGGTAATTTTTACTTTACAAATTACAGACATGGCCGATTCGCACGGGATTAAGATCACAGACAATCTCCGCAATTATTACAAATGACTGAAGGTCAACAGGTAATACTAATCCCGTGTGAATAGGGCTTAAATCACATTCTGCAAAATTGTGGGTCATTTTGCCTCTTTTTGCTCCACCAGAAGAAATCATTCCAAATGCAGTCGCAGCAGGAGTAACATGCAGTAGTGGTGTTTAGTTTCTGAACGATGTAATCTGCAGAGAGTCAGAAACCATTAATACAGTCTGGAATATGCTCAAATATAGACAAGATGAGATACAAACTCTGGAAAGTTCAGCATTTCAAATTTAAGGTCCGTAACTAATCTTTGTATAAAATTACTTCAACTAGGCTACTTACAAGTTCAGCACAGAGGTAGTCAGGACGAGACCAACAAACCTTCATTTCGGTCAAAACTTTACAAAACACAGCCTCTCTGACTCCACTAAGGAGTTTTTAAATAACAGTATCCTAGAAAAGTCCAACCTCAAGAGAAGGACGATGCTCCCTGACATTTAATTAACAGACAGCTCTGCTAATTAACAAAACCGTATTCACCGCTATCTTGTATTTAAAGTGTACACGAGCAGCTTGCTTCTCTAGCATTCATATGCAGCATCACAAACTCTGGAAGGTGAAACACTCGTTGTCACAAATTAATGAGCAACTGGTAGATATTGTAGGTCACCTTAGTTTTGATGCAGAAGACAAGAGAGAAAAACAAGGAGAGGGTGGTGATGTTTAGTCATAGGGGACACACTGAAACTAACTGCACCTTCAGTGGCTTTGACAGTCGCCCTTACCTTTAACAATAGATGCTGCCATTGTTCCCTGGACCGCTCGCTGGTCTGAAGGACACCGCTTCAAAATGGGACACTTTTTAGAGTCCTCCATGGCTGCAAGCTCTTGCTTTAGTCTGTCCAGACTGACACCTCTTTTGAAGATAAAACAATTGGCACAAAAGAAGCCTGTCACTTCTTTTCCCCTCTATTTCTGTTGCATCTAAAATATGCCAGAAGAATCAGTAGAAGAAAAAAAAGAAAGAAATCAATAATCCCTAGGTCCTTTATCCCCCCCCTCAAAAAGAAAGGTGTATACTTTTTTTTTTTTTATGATCGATTCCACTCAAAGACTTTGACCTATACAACAAACACAGACATCTTATGAAACAGAGAAAAACTTATGGAAAGAGAATTATTTCCCATAAGTCTCCTTTAAAAGACAATGGGCCTTTCCTAAACACACACTTCAGACAGCAGTTTAAGGCAACCGTTAATAGGTAAGTACCAAGTCTAAAAAGGGACATTTAATTAAGATTCATAAATGAATTTGGTGTCAAACTGATTTTGACATGGTGCTAGAGGAAGGTACAAGGATGGATAACTCTGAAAGACAAACCATTAACATTATTTAATTGTTCTTCATCTCATTTTCTCCAATGAATTTGTATTGTTATATTTCACATTAATGCACTTTAAAGATCTCATTATGCCATTTTGCAGTTCATTTTTTAACCCACTTAAAACGAAAGCCTCACAGCTGGTTTTGGAGAACAAGTTTGGCTAATGCATGTCAAGCGGCATCTCCTTAAGCAGACCAAAACCATATTTTTTGACTGGGCATGCTGGATTATGTAATTAATCAAATGGTCTCCATTATAAAGTGGTTTACCTTTAATTTTCTGAGCATTAATCAAAGTGAATTTAATCAATGAGAATTAAGTTATCACAAAAGGAACCCTTATAGACCAGCAAAATCAGTAACTCTCTTACTCTTCCATGCTTTTTTATTTATAAAGTAAACAACATAAAGCAGATTTGTGCCATTTGGAACAAAACATCTTTATTTCTACAAAATATAAAGAGACAATTAAGGGAAAAATTACTGCTTTTGTGCTTTGCTTTTTTTAGTGACTAAATGCTTTTTAGTGCTTATTAGTGACTATAGTAACCATTTAACTAGAATGTGGACAAAATGTGAACTGTGGGAACTCTTAAAAAAAATAAAATAAAATAATGTCTTTGAACAGATTTGTTCTTAAACATGACATGGTATGAACAAAAAAATTCCAAGGTGCTGCTCTTTTGTGTTATTATATGCACAAGTGTTTCATCGTTTGAAAACTTCCTGATAAACAAAAACTCAATTCAAAAAGGCACAAGATAAAAATAGAAAGTTTAAAAGCCTACACATTTTAGCACATTTAATTCATTTTCGCACAGTAATTAATGAAAGCTCACAAAGTAAACTTGCAGCAAAATTGAAGAAATACAGAATAAATAATTAAACAGTAAAGTGTGTCTGTGCATGCTTGCCGTAGAGAAGCCTTCAGTACAGGAAGGTACCAAAGCTTCCCTTTCCATTGTGCTTGAATTGATTTCCATGAATGGAAATGAACATTTCCTGTGAGAGTAGATTCTCATCAGCCTGCATGGCCCCCAGTGCTTTCATACGGCTCTTCCGAAGCCCATGTTTCTTGGCCGATGTGGCAACCAACTCTTGCTTGATGGCATCATTTCCCTCAGTGAAGTCTGGAGGGACAGAGTGGCCATGTTGGATGGCTGGGCACTCTTCCTCCACGACAATGGCAGGCACATCATCATCATCTATATCTGCCTCTGATTGTACTACTGTGTCCTCAAATTCTTTCTCTTTCTCATCTGACAAAACAGAAGAGGCACACAACAGGCTTCAGAATAGATTTGGTTTTGAATTTTTTAGTGTTAGCATTTTTAATCTAAAACCCCAACCCTTAAAGGAAACAGCAAATCATAACTATAGAAGTCTCGGTGCAAACATAATTGGAACAAACAGAGATTAATCTCAGTTGTGACGCATGAACAGTTCAGAAACAGTCGTACAGGTTTGGAATAACATGAGGGAGAGCAAATGACACAATTTTCATTTTTGAGTGAATTATTCCTTTAATTCCTCACCAGAAAGCAGGAAGCACAGACTGATGTGTCAACACAAAGCGCTCTCATTCACCCTTCCAGCAGGGAGCAATATGAATGGTTATAGTCAGCCAGAAAATGATAGGGTACAATAAAAGGATGTGTTTGAAGCATCTACAACTCTCCTCTAAATGGAGGGCCTCTGCACTCAAACTAAACCCTGCTGTTCCTGGCAAAGTCATTAATGACACAACGAACAATTAAACTGTAATACTAGACTGAGACACTTTAATTTCCTTTATAAAAATTCTGCCATATGTACATTAATTGACAGTCACCACTGATAAGCTACCACTAAATATTGTAGAAACTTAATTTGCTGTAAAGTTGCTTTGCAATGATTTGTATCGTGAAAAGCGCTGTACAAATAAACTTGACTTGACTTGACTTGACAGCTATGACTGCTTCACCCAACGTTCTGTGTATCACTGAGCAACACCCTTAGCAACCTACCTTAGCAACATAAACACTCAATCTAGCATTAAAACTGTTCAGTTTATTATGTATTTCAGAAAAATTAACTGTTTGTTATTTAAGTATGCGTTGTGTATGCTGGCGTTATGTTGCATCTTTCATCTTTAACTTTGAGACCCCGCCTTTCCCCGTCTAATAAACACTCCTCATGCAGAGATGTGTTGATGCGTGTGCACATCTGTGTGGAAGCCTACAGTTTCCGAAGTGAGGAGGGAATATTACTGTATTTATTAGTTTTCTGTTTCAGGTATGATTCTGTATGTCCATCAGTTTACACTGTAATGACGCTTGCAAACTCGCGCTGTGCAGCTAATCAGTCTGTTTTAAAACTAAAAGACGGAAAGACAGATGTTTCCTCATGCTGAGAGATAAGCAGATGTATGTGTGTGAGAAAATATCATATATGGTGTTAAAATAAATGACACAGCAGATGATAAGAGCTCCTATTCTCTGTTTATATCCTTTAGATGAGGCATGTTCGGAACATTTCTCTTGCCGTTTACTGTTGCTGTCAGGAACTATTTTTAGCGGAAGGACGGCATTTAACGAACTTGCTTCAAAAAAGTAACCTTTTCAATACACACATTTTTGGTTTTTATATATTTTTTTTATTGTGTGGTAACCGTTTTATAAAAGCAATAAGGTACTCGAGGCCGTGCTGTATCGTGAATAAATCACGGCTGAAGGGCGTTGTTGCAACCCCTATATTTATTCAGGATACGGTATGGCCTCTCGTACCTTATTGCTTACATATAGGAGAAAGCATCTTTAGGAAAGTCAGCAGTTATACTCAGGGTAGTATAAAACTGTTTTCCCTTTGCTATGAGACCTTCAAGGAAGAACTATCCCATAACCTACATTTTCTTTCCAATATGTATTATATTTAATTCAAATGGATTCATCTGAATACAATGAGATTTGCAATCTAAATTGCTGTAAATCTACACATACAAAAATGGCTAAGGATCAACCAATGCATATCTCACCTTCCTAATAAAAATGCATAACATCATTTATTTTAAAGAAAATAGATTCTGAATTTCCCTAACCAACACCCAAATGAAAACATGCACATATGTCGACCGAAAGTATTTAAATTGCACTTTCTTTTAAGTTTTCAATGCAGAACAGAAAGTAACTATGCCAATGCATCTAACAGACAAAGGCAGACGGTGAGAGGCGGAAGCATAAAGGAACCAGAGGGAGAAGTAGGGTCTACTTTTATTTTGAAGCCGAGACGCCTTCTGCTGAGCATAATTCAGAAATTAAGCATACTGCATTCACAGCTGCCCTTCATTGAATGTCAAGCGTATTTCCGTTCTTTTCTCAAAATGGAGCTGGCTGAGAGAGGAGGAAAAAAAGCCGATCCTGCTGAAGAAAAGTACCGTGGGGATGGCAGTCATTACAGACAGGCCTTCCAACAGCCCCAGGGGGGCATTTTTAACAAAAATTTTATGCAAGTGAATATATTTTCACAGATATTACCGCAGGAGAAAGTAGAGCACTTTTCTCATAGTCCTGCGGGTTCCTTCACAAGCTATATAGACGTGTGGCGCATGCAGGCATGCACAGAACCATTTACAGTAATGGGTCGTGGCCTATTTAATTTGTGGCAAAGAAGATGAGATGTGTGAAAGCCCAAAACATCAAGGTTACACTATCCACCATACAAGAAACCAAGAACACGCAGCAGACAAAAAATAATAATTTAGCTCTTACATGGAGGCCCTGGACACATGAATGTATTATTTATGTACTGTATTATTTGCGAGCTCAAGCACGTTTCATATTTCCCAGTAAATTGCAAGAAAATTCAGCATAAATAACATGAATTAAAGGAATAGCTCTCCCGTCACGTCACCTCACATTGTTTTAAACCTAAAAGCCAGTTATGTTTTTCTGTGGAATCAAATTAAATAATAATAATAAATAAAATAATAATAATTTACATTGTCCATACAACAACAGTTCATAGTGACCACTTTTTGTGAAAAAAAAAAACAAACACTCATACTGATAATTGTGTTACAGCTGATAACAGATAAATTTGGGGTTAGCTAACCCATGGGGATTAGTGAGGGAACTGCATGGGGCTTTGTGATTTGATGAAAAGCTATTAATTAAATCATAAAAAGCAATTTTTAAATAAAACAATATAACACTTTATTTGTTTACCTGCATGTCATATGGCACCTGTGAACCACGAACATGCAAATGTGTAAAAGTATTGACAAATTAACAAAATATCAGGGAGTACTTCAAAAAAACATTTTATGTCAAAGGGGTTCAGCTGAAAAAAAAAAAAAAAAACTGGGTTTGTGAATCCATAAAACATGTATTAATTATTATTTGGATTTAAAATTATTAGTAATATTTGCTGAAGACTTGACATGTATTATTAGTATTTTTAAGATGAAACATTACATTTAAATTTACATATTACATTAAAACTTAAAAGAAAATCTCAAATATCAGCTAATAACTGAAATATTATCAGTTTATCATGGCTCTCTCAGTGTTGCGTCATTCTGGAGCTTGACAAGCTGGTCACTATTAACAACGGTTATATAAAAAAGAGCTGTGTGAACATTCTTTTCCATTGAGAAAAAGTAACATACTATTTTAGAACCAAAAAAGGGGGACATTTTTCATTTTGGGTGAACAATCCCTATAATGCTTGCAGCAATTTGTCTTCACTAACCGTTGTTAGCGTTTCTACTTCTTCAGGTGTTGCTAGGTACTTCAAGATAAAAGTTCATTACCCTTAATGAACTAGCTGGTGTTCATTTGAGAATATGCCCTGCTGCTGGGGAACTGAGGCGGCAGAAGCAGACAGAAAAAGAAAAGGGCACCTGCGGCAATGGGCTCTGCGGGCAGATCCTCCACAGCAGCGTCACCTGGCTTGACCAAGATAACGCCGTAGCCCTGATTGTTGTGGATCATGTTATTCACCATGGTGATTTTAGGCATGGCGTCCAACTCGTTTGCAAAATCCTGCCAAAGGGGAAGCAGGGGGTGGTAAACACGCAGCATGCCTACACAAATGAACATGTGCATGCACACTCTCACATCTCTTTCTGGTCTAAGCAAAGTGAGGAAGAATAAAACACTGAGGTTGGGAAGGCGCAGCATGTACACAAACGCACAAAGCTTGAGGAAGGTAGATAAAATCCAATTATTCCGCTGGAGTTAATTACGGAAAAATCCTTTTGGGTTGCTGCTACCTGTGTGTGAATCTAATTTGCTCTCAGGTGAAACACTAACACTGACTTGAGATGGAGTATTATGCAATGGCTTTCTCAAGACACACTTTCTCAAATGAAGCCAACTGGCAACATTTTCCACAAAGATTCATGTCTACAACTCCAGGGTGCTCACTGGCTTTTCTAAGATTTCCTCTGAACTGTATGAGCGTACTGACCTCTGGTGATACGGCTTAAAGCTATTACCATCAAAGACGCCCCACGGTGGCCAGTGAAGTCCCACTCCACTAACACACTAAAGGGGCCAACTTCCCTGGAGGTCTTCTAAATGCATTAATCCACTAGATCATTAATACGATACTAAGACAGCTCTAAAGTGCGGCTCTGTTGGGTCAGGTAAGATACTTGCTGTTGCCTGGCCAACGATTACCAGTAACCAGGAGCCAGATGGGCTAATCTATAGGCGTTTAGAAGAGCCGAGCCATCCATCTTCCTCACCTTAATCAGGATCCCCTCCTTGCAGTGATGGATGCCGTTGCCCAACAGACTGCATACACTCGCAGGGTAGATCTCCACACCGGCACCCTGAGGCACAGAGCACACAGCGACCATCAGAACGATAATGGTATTGGTCAATGAAGAAGAGGCTCTTTAGTAAAATGGCTGGTGGTAAATCAGTCTAAGAACGCTGCTGGCAAGACCTTTCAAATTTCTATTTCATGCTGTAATAACTACTGTAAAGAATAGATGGTAGAGCAATACCTTCAACTGATAATATTCATTCCATAAGTGAAGAAGTCATTTTATAATTTACGTGAGGGATCCTGTGCTAGTGCAGCTTACCTTGGAGCCGTACAGGTCGCACATGTTCATGCAGAGCTGGGCCGCCGATCGCACAATCACACCTGTGGTCTCACACTGCATCACACAATTTTCCATTTCCAGCTTCCCCTGGCGAACACCTGATGAAAGATAAAGGGTGACAAATCGAAAAGACATTGGAGGACGGTGACAGGACATGCAAGGAGGAAAAGTTTCCAGTCACATATAAAGATATAGAATAGTGCTAGGTTATATTGAATATAAGCAATATAAAATTAAATAATATTGGCCATATCACAATGATTTTTCTTTGACTACCGAGTTTCCAAAAGACCAACAGTTAGATGTGTCATCCTGGTATCTGAGTATGAAAACGTTAAGGCAGATAGCATCTTTTATTTAAAGGGGTCATATGATGCGATTTCAATTTTTCCTTTCTCTTTGGAGTGTTACAAGCTCTTGGTGCATAAAGAAGATCTGTAAAGTTGCAAAGACTAAAGTCTCAAATCCAAAGAGATTTCGGCCAATCACAACGCACTGGATATCTGGCCAATCAGAGCACACCTCGCTTTTTAGACCGATGAGCTTTGTAAAAATCGACTCGTTTCAAAAAGGCGGTGCATAGAGGAGAAACAATAATGTACAGTATGTGGAAAATAATGTGTTTTTTTTTTACTTTAAACCGCATAAACACATTTCATTACACCAAATACACAAAATAATGTTCTTTTTAGCAGCATCATATGACCCCTTTAATGTTTTATTCATATTTGTGAACCACTTCAAACTGTTTGTTTTGAACAACTGAAAATTTTGATTATGCAATTATATCATATCTATATAATTGTATACCTTTAAAAATTATTAAAAAGCACCCCTTTCTGGCATTGTTTTTATTATGTTTAAAAATGTTTTACTATAAATCTATGAGGGTAATCTATTGCTGTTATTTTACTAATATTTGTTATAATGGTGAATACACCCTATTGTTTAAAAGTTTGGTGTCAGTACTTTTTTTAATGTTTTTGAAAGAAGTTTCTTATGCTCACCAAAGCTGCATTTATTTGATCAAGAATATAGCTAAATATTGTGGAAAAAATTTTCTTTTTTTCTATTTTAATGTTTTGTGATAAGCTTCTGCGATGGCAAAGCTGAATTTTCAGCAGCCATTACTCGAGTCACATGATCCTTCAGAAATCATCCTATATGCCGATTTAGTCAAGGAACATTTCTTAATATTATCAATGTTGTAAATAGTTGTGCGGCTTATTATTTTTGTGAAAACCAGGATGCATTTTCTTCCTGAATAAAGATAAAAATAAAAGCAATCATAAATCATTTTGTAACAATGTAAAAGTCTCTACTGCCCCTTATAAACAATTTAAAGGGTTAGTTCACCCAAAAATGAAAATTAGCCTGTTTTACTCACCCTCAAAGCATCCTAGGTGTATGTGACTTTCTTCTTTCAGACGAATCCAATCGGAGTTATATTAAAAATTGTCCTGGCCCCTCCAAGCCTTTCAATGGGGGTAAGCAGGTGTTGGTTGTCAACAGTTCAGAAGACGTGAAATAAAGTGCGTGCATCCATAATAAAACGTCCCTCACACGGCTCCGGGGGGTGAATAAAGGCCTCCTCTAGTGAATCCATGCATTTTTGTAAGATACATATCCATATTTCAAACGTAATAAACACTTTTTTCTCACTTCCGCTGACTGTAACACGCGGAAGCAGTTCCGGCGGATGACGCAAGACGTTGGCGTTGCGTGATTAGTGACGAACGCGGAGACAAAACAAAACAAAACACCGTTCACGAATTAGAATCACAAAACGAGGATTTGTAAAGAAAAATGTCGGAGGATTTCGATATAAGCCAAGAGGAGACTGGTTTTCCTTTGCTAAAGTAAGGAAACTTTGTTTCCTTTGCTCCTGCATTTCTCAGAGGCGTGCGCACGATGCCTACTTCCTACGTCATCCGCCTGCACGACTTCCGCATACCACAGTCAGCGGAAGTGAGAAAAAAAGTGTTTATTACGTTTGAAATATGGATATTTATCATACATAAATGCATGTATTCGCTACAGAAGGCCTTTATTCACCGCCCGGAGCCGTGTGAGGGACATTTTATTACGGATGCACGCACTTTATTTCACGTCTTCTGAACTGTAGACAACCAAAACCTGCTTACCCCCGTTGAAAGGCTTGGAGGGGCCAGGACAATTTTTTATATAACTCCGATTGGATTCGTCTGAAAGAAGAAAGTCACATACACCTAGGATGCTTTGAGGGTGAGTAAAACACAGGCTAATTTTCATTTTTGGGTGAACTAACCCTTTAATGCATCCTTGCTGAATAAAAATATAAAATCTCTTTCAAATAAGGAAATAATTTAGTTACAATGACTGGTCAAAATGGTGATTAAACGGTGATTTAAAAAAAGAAATCTTTTTTTTTTCTCTTATCTATATTGTCTGGTCATAATACAATAGGGAACATATTGTTTTGGAAGCAAGCAGGACATCCAGTTGATAATAAACAAGCCTGTTATTCTGACCAGATCAGAAATCCCACAGGAAGCAAACCTTTAGTGTAGCCGCACACAGGGATACAGATTTAAAGGCTCCCTAGGCTAGGCATGCCAGCAGGGCTCACCAATGAAATGACAAGAAAAACATAAGATGACTCTCCTGTTACTGTGTTGCTGTAGAGGCCAAATGAATGTCTGAGCAAAAAGTGCATGTCAGGTCTCTGTTTAATATACTGCTGTCCATTGAACAGCAGCAGTCCCTCAAGACTCTTCGACAAACAGCTGGAAAGGGGGAAAAAGAGGCAGGACAATTTTCTTTGAAACTCACACAAGATGCCTTCAATGGCGTCGCGCTGTATGAACTTTAGATTCGAGAGTTTGACGTTTGCTCCTGTTGACTCCACAAATGCATCGCCCTTGTTACGCTTCTCGATCACCACCTCGTCCGGCAAACCGTATCCTGAGGGAAGACAGGAGAGAAATGGCTCTAGAAAAAGTCCTTTTATGTCCAACCCTTACACTTTTTATCTAAAGCAACTTACAAAAAGCAAAAAAAAAATGTTTTGACAAAATAAAATACAATAAAATAAGCTTAAATAATCACTGCATGGACGCTTAAGGTTGTTTATGCCTCTTTTAAATAACACAAAAACTCTAAAATAACCTCGTTATAAAACAGGCCGCCGATAGCATAGTTTCGCCAGTAACAAGAACCCGTTAAAATTGCACTCTTTGAATAAAACATTTTCTGAACCTGCATGACAAAAAACGCTGAAGGGAAATTGACAGGCCCTTAACCCTGATGGATCACTGTCATTTACCACTAGGCCTACCATCCAGCAAACATCATCTCATTATAGAAAAAGCCTCTCCATAAAGGACCTAATTCTCTATGGAAATTAGACCGTCTCTCAGTCTAGACGCATGGTTTCCAAGTAACAATGTGGCTAAATGACCATCAACAAGCGTGTTGAGTTTATAGCAGCCGGCAAACTGATGACTGAGAGGTCAGCTTAGCACCATCTCAGTTTGAGATAGTGGTGGCAGGTCAGCGAGAGCAGCGGTTCAAAGCCGCAGAGTTTGACAGCCCGGCTTCATTACACACTGCTCTTTGACAGATGGTCCTGAAGCAGGTTTCTCCCAGACTTTTCTAACAATGCCTAGATGAACTTGAGCACCCTGGTCAGCTCTCACACACTTCTTTCAAATGCCAAAGGCTGAATATAGACCAATAAGGTCACAGCACCATCCTCACTTCTACGTCTGCAGGTAACAACAGTTGATTTGCTGGAAGATCTCTCCGTAATTGACAGCAGTGGGATGCTTTGAATTGGGAAAACAGCGAATCACAGACCGTACTTCCTGCACTCCAAAATGCAACACCGTTGCAGGTCTCAATGACTCAATCACTTTTAAAAACATGCAAAACTATTTAGAGCTCCTTCAAATAATCTTGGCAATAAAGCCATAGCCTGAGACAGAGGCATGTGTGACGTTTTCGCTAAATATCAAAGACCTTTAGCGCGGGGAGCAGAGTTATTTTATGGTAATCTGGCAGTGGTCTAATTGAGTTGCTCTTCTCCTGTAGTAGAGCCAGCAGCCGCCTGTGCGTTATCTTCTCTTTCAGGGCTTCCCTGACGCTGCAGGAGGGACTGCCAAGCACACAAAACCTCCATATTTAAACAGCGTCCTCCAGGCCTTCTTTCCTCTTCCTCATTTGACTTCATCACTATCTGACTTTGCAGGTCGCCCATTTGCATAAAGAGACTTGACCCTGACCCCGTGCTCTCTCTGCTTGCCTGCCTCCACATTTCTCATGCATTAATTTCCGCCCCCCATCACTGAAAGGTGGTTATTGCGCCATCGAGCTCAATTACCTCAGCAGGCTTTCTAATATCACACGCCGACTGCGGTGTTCGTTTTATACACGTCCAGGGAACCATTTTGACAAACAAGGCCCGGTGCCAGACTATTGACTTAGTGTTATGAAGCATGCTGTATCACAAAGCTTTATTAAAGGGAAAAGAATAGTACAAAATACAGGTGATTTCCTCTGTGTTTTAGATGGAGGTGGATGAAGAAAAAAAAAAAAGGAAATAAAGTACTTTCCAAATCAATCGGATGATAAAGGTCAATGTCTCTACATCACTACAGCTAAAACTAGGCAATTCATTTAGACACCACTAATGTCAGTAGTTTTGTGGAAAGCTACTTTTAAAAGTAATACATTACAATATTGCATTACTCCATAAAAAAGTAATCAATTGTTTTACTTAGATACTCTTTATGGAAAGTAAAGCATTACATTACTTTTGCGTTACATTTTCTCATATAGCTTGGGCTTGTTTATTTGTTTTTTAATAACAAAAAACCCAAAGGTTATATTTTTGGCAACTGTAAAGGCCCTTTCACACCAAAAGTGAAATTAAGGAAGTGTCTCTGCCTCTGCACCTCACTCCCAATTTCTCGACACAGGACAGGAGAGGGGTCAGTGAAAAAATGGGAAAACAAAGTAACTTGCATTACTTATTTGAAAAAAGTATCTCATATTTCAATGTAAATTTAAAAGCAATGCATTACTACTAGTTACTTGAAAAAATTATCTGATTACGTAACTTAGTGTTACCCCCAACACTAAGGGCTCTATCATACACCCGGTGCAATGCGACGCAAGTGTTTTTTGCTAGTTTCAGCCTGAAGCAGTTTTCATTTTGGGAGTGCTGGTCTGAAAACGAGGTGTGTTCAGGCGCATTGTTGGCGCGTTGCTATTTTGAGGCAACTGAAATAGACCGCGCCATTGACCAACTAAAACCTTGTATCAATGGAGTCAATGGCGCAGTAGTTTTTTTTTTTTTTTAAAGAGCGCGTTAGTTTAGGCGGGTGCACAACGCGCGTACACTCTGCTTATTACACACACCGCAGCAGCACACAAACATGCCAAATATTAAAAATTAAAGGATTACAATGTAAAATATTATTATTGTGTAGGCTACATAAATATAAAAATGCCAATATAGACATGGCATGTATAAGAATTAGGCTACCTATTTGCTCGCGCACGAGCAGATCCGTTTAGTCTCTGGAGACGCGTTCTGTCTTTGCGCTTGCAAATTCTGCAGCATAAATAGCAAATTTGCCATGGCGCGAGCGCAACTGGCTCTTAAAGGGAATGGGAGATGATACTCTGATTGGTTTATTGCACGTTATGCCCAAAACACACCCATTATTCATTAAGAGAATAGGGAATAGGGGCAACCCTTTTAGACCATGTGCCAGGCGCGCCGACCGTTTTTCCCGTCGTTAAACTAGCAAAAGTGGATTCGGACACGCTCTAAGTGCACCTGCGCCTTGCGCTTTAGACCTTGCGCTTAGATCGTTAAAATAGGGCCCTATATGTCACTAACTTTTAAAGGGATAGTTCATCCATAAATTATGTTTTTTTTCCATTGTCAATGTCCTCCTAACACAAGGCAAATCATATCGATTTGTAATATTTGAGGTGAGTCATAAGAATTACTTGACACTTTTTTTATTATTATTTTGGAGACTCATTTTCATTTTTCAGAGAAAAAATAAAGTCATACTGATCTGGTACAACATAAAATTGAGTAAACAGAATTTTAAATTTTAACCTTCCTGCTGTGTTAATAAAAAGGCCACTCCGTTTGTGTTAGGGGTCAAATGGACACTGCAAAATTAGATGCACAGACACAAAATAAAAGCATTCCTTTGTTTTTTTTTTGTTTTTTTTATAGCCACTTGTAGTGACTATTTGCACATGACTACAATGAATGACAGAATGTGACTGCAAATGACTACAATTAGTATTAATAGTAAAATGAATGTGAATTGTATTTATTGCTATTTACACATAATGTAAACAGCCTCTGCCTCTGTTGTTCTGAAACTCCTGTGAGGGTAAAATGTGTTTCTCACATCTTTTCTTAGTGCTGCGACAGACTAGCAATTGAGCTCCAAAAAATTTACTGAAATTCAAATAGATGAAGCAGAATTATCCTTGGATAATTTACAAGACAAGGCTGTCTTAAATTTCCCATATATTTGATATTTTATATAGTCTTCAGTTTTTTTACCTGACTCTTTTCTGTTTTTCAAAATGATTTTTGGCAAACTGCATGGAAACCAATGAATGTCAATTTAAAGGGTTTTTGAGATGTTAACAAATATGTACAGGTTGTACATCAATGAAAACAACAATAGCACTCATTTTGTCTATTTTTAAGGGGAAAATTTTTATTTTTTCATTTTTTTGGAGCCATTTCGTTCTTCCAGTTCAAAGAGCAAAGTTGAACCAACATCACAAAAATAGACGTATATGCGTTAATTTGGAGTGGTGATGGGCTGGAGTGGCTGGAGAGTACGCGTCTAAAACGTCATCAGTTTTCTGAGCTTTTCTCAGTATTATTCATGAGAATGAAGTCTTATGATCCAATCAGTACACTGTATTATGCATGAGGTTGGATTACAGTGAAGAATTCAAATCTCATGAAAGATCTTCACGCTGTTATTTAATCTCTGTAAACATGACCGTAAAAATATTTAATATGTAACAACGCGTTTTTGCACCGAACGCTGTAATGAGTTTAACAACACTCACTGTGTGGATCGTAGTTCATATCCAGACTAGAGCAAGCGTGTTTCAAGTTTTTGTGAACATATTTTATATTCTCTCATGCGCCAAACATGAACCAGCACCGTGTACGCACACATATCATGTCTTCTTAAAATATGCGCAAATAAGGGTGCTAATACAGCGATACATCTGATTCATGAACGCGATGACACAGTGGATTATTGTGATGCACAGCAAACAATGATATAGACCACAAATTCAAAGAAGAGTAAACAAAAAGTAACTATGCCTTAATTCTTTCTGTTTTAAACATATTTTAATATTCATTTGTCTGTATAACGACTGTGTTGTAGGTCTGTGTTATTGGTTGTTTTCTCCCCTCTTCCCACCCTCTTCATGCCCACTTTTCCACAGCTTTACACACTCTTCTTCAAATCTAAGGTGTTAAATGACCAGTGCTGAAACAGGGGGTTTCATGACACTTTAAGCCTTAACATCATTTTAGGCACAAAGTGTTATGAATCCTATGACACCAATGTCAACAATTGTCAGTTCAGACAGACATGCACACGGTGAATCATGTGATTACCTTCAACCTCTATGGAGTCAACAATACTGATAGAGCTGGTGATGCTGTAAAGGCCAGGGCATACGATGACCACATCCCCCTCATAGCACGCATTGACCGCAAGCACTGGGTCACTGTGAAACTGGGATCAAAACACACACCATATTAGTCAAACTCAAATCATCTTTGCCCTGAAAGCCAACAAAAACTGAATTTCAAGTTGCAGTGAGTGGGGGGAAAAAAAAAGAAAAACCGCCTGACACAAAAAAATTTAAGTGAATGTGTCTCAGTGGGGTTGAGTAGAGGCATCTTATCACACACATGTGCACCATTTTAACAAGTTCTTGAGGGATAAACTGGCTCACAGAACAAGAGAGATCAAACATGAGCTAGTGCATGAACACAGTGCGTTAAAAACCTTCACAAATCCTGCATTACAGCACCTTGACACATTAGTGATCAGACCGTTCTAACAACTTTCCGCACAAACCGCTCTTTAATCTTACCAGTCGAACAGAAGATGGAGAAGCGAACGAGCACACGTGAGATTTTACTGGCAAAATTATTCACCGAGTCCTAGTGGTCATAAAATTATACTAGCACGAGCGAAATCGATGATTTGATTTTTTTTCTGAGAGCTCTGAGGCGGCCAGTGCTCTCAGGCAGATATTAACCTTTAAGAGGTAAACCTAGGAAATTAAAAGACAGTGATCAGAGGCTGTGGGAGAAAGCGAGCAGGGCATTAATATCAGCATTTGGGGAGGATTTGCACTCTACCTTCCCTGTCTGAAACTACTTTATTTAAACGATCAGACCATCCTCCATCCAGATTCAGCTCCCAGAATAGTGGAAGTGACCTTTTCCAATTCAAATACCATATTTCAAAACCAAATGTCGTGTCATGGCTTAAAACTAGGCTTTGCTCAGAATCCAGGCAAAAGTATCCAGCCAAATTCTGTTTTTTTTTTGCTTATATGTGATCTGTTTTTTTCATAGCAGTGTGAACAGCAAAAACTACACTGAATCTTATTTTTCATTTCTAATTTGGGTCACTTCCATATGTGGTCTTAAATCCGATACAGGTCTTGCAATGCAACCTCAGTCTGAACAGTCATATCAGGATCCATGCAAGTTTTGTGTTACTCTAGATCAGTATCACAATTCCATACTGACAGGAGTTGCATAAAATCTCCCATAAAACTTTTAACACAATAACACTTTACAATAAGGTTTAATTTAATAACACTAGTCAACACTATTGAACTAACAATGAACAATATATTTTTATAGCATGTATTAACCTTTGTTAATATTAATAAAAATGTTAATGTTTGTTAACAGTTAAAAGTGCAACATGTTAACAAGTTGACATAAAACGTTTGACCTTAAAAATGTATTAGTAAATGTTCAGATTGACATTAATAAAGATAAATAAATGCTGTAGAAATACTGATCATTTTTAGTTCATGTTAACTGATGTAGTTAAAAGGGTCATATGATGCGATTTCAATTTTTCCTTTCTCTTTGGAGTGTTACAAGCTCTTGGTGCATAAAGAAGATCTGTGAAGTTGCAAAGACTAAAGTCTCAAATCCAAATAGATATTCTTTATAAAAGTTAAGAGTCAGCCACACCTACCTAAAACGGCTCGTTCTAACACACCCCCACATACCTACGTCACGATCTGGGAAAATTTGCATAACGCCGCCCAAATGTTCACACAAAGAAAGAAGGCCTAACTTTTATTCTCGCTGTAGTTTTGCTGTTTCCGCTATAAATATATATATAGATATATATATTAGTGGTGTCAAAATTAGCGCGTAAACGCAGGCGATTATTTATTTTTTTCAGTTTAATGCGTTAAAAATATTTAACGCAATTAACGCAGGGGCGGGGCTAGGGTTGGCCACCCCACTCACAACTGCTGCTTGTGTCACTTTTTCTCTTGACAAGAAGTGCTTTTATTAAGTCGCAGAACGACTGAGAATGGGAGACGTTTCAGACGCGCGCTCCTCTTCACTTCAGCGCCAGGCGCGAGTCAAGCGAGCGCGGATACGGTCC